GCCCGCTTCTACATCGCCGGACCGATTGGTATTTGTACCGATGGTCGAGCCAATCGCCAAATGACCGTCTGTGTGCCATTTGACGGAACCGAAACACTGAGAATTAATCGAAAAATTCAAAAAACTCGATAGCGGAATAGAATCATATGAAAGGAGCACAGCGCATGGCAGCGACAGTAGACTGCGCCTCGAAAGCGAAACTCCCGAGGCGATTGGGCCGCGCGAAGGCTCCTTTCAGAGAGGTAATGTCAGAGCCGGCAACCTCTCAAGTGAGGAAACAACTACCGCCCTTTCCAGCTATCGTTCCCAATCGTATACATAGCTCCGTGTACGGCGAGCGACCCTCCAGCCAGTCTAGTTTCCGTACTGATATTTCTGTATATGAACAGCCACTCCCGAAGTTCCCCTGCTCCACATGGTATTGGCGCTCCGTCGAGTCGATGAATTTTGCTGCTCGCCTGCAGTTCCTCTCCACCGCACTGAAATTGAACGTGAAGCCGTTCGGTGTATCTGCCGAGGGAGATGGTGAACTGTAAACGTCTAGGCAACCAGACGGACCGGCGGGCAAGCGAGTCGATAGCACCCCCGAGCGTCACACCTCATTGAATCCGACCGAACGGCGAGTAGTAACTGCAACACCGAAAGCTTTGTACAAGTACTTCGACAGCGACGAAAACGCCGGCGATGCTGCTGGAGACGAATCTATCTCGAGTAAAAATCTTCGATCTGTCTTCATTGGTTCGACCCTGAAGCAGGCTAGCTAGCTGACTGACTGACTGTCAGGCTTGGATTCCGCCAAGTGCTGTCCGCTGTTCCGCTGGGAACTCTTCTCCAACGACGATAACAATACAGAAGACGAAGGAGGATATTCGCCGCTAAGTTTCAGTTGGACGACAGTGTTTTTACGCTCACTTGGAGCGATAAGTAATACATGGAATAATTCGTCGTCTCTCATTCTTCCGAGATTTCGCGAAGGGTCGGGAATATGATAATTCTGATCGAACGGAATTGATGCCTGCAGAAAATCGATACCATCGGGAATCTTGTGAGTACCTACGCTACGACTGGAACCGTGGTGTCCGAATGGGGAGCCTGCCCCAGTCTTCCATGACGCTCGCACGCGAGCCGTAGTCGCAAATTCCGAAATTCGTCGAGATTCCGTTCGACGATGGATTGATGAGTCTGGTCCATGATCTCTTAATTCCGGAGAGACGTGATCCACCGAATCAGAAACGTTCGTCGTCGCGCGATCCTGGCCCCAAGTTCACCTGAAAACCCCCCATCGCCCGCAGTAGTACTCCACCGAGGACATTTCGTTCACCTGAATATTTTTCGGTTCGTGTCTTTATCTCTCGACGTTCAGTCCGTCACTCCATTCGCAAAACCATGTTCGCGTCGAAAAATGATTGAAGGGTGTTGACTGACGGTGGAACAGTTGAAACTGACGAATAAATTGAGTTTCTTCTCCGACTGACTGACTGGCTGACTGACTGACTGCTTGATCCTTTGCCTACCATGGTAAGCACAGCTCAGGAGCGAGCGGGCGGGCCTTCGTTGGGCGGGTTGGTCGATCGTCTGGTCAGGTCGCCCGGTCGTTCGACCGGCTTCCTGCTCGTTCTCACTGTGTATCCATTTTCCTTTGCATTGTCTCTTGTGCTGCAGATGAATCTCGATCGGTGTTACGCTCCATTGAGGCGAAATTCGACGAAATACTCTCGTCGTCATCGCGAATGCCGAATCCACATCGATTTCCCTCATCTTCGCTGTTGTTCCTGTTCGGAGAAGAAGAAGCCAGGAGAGTCCGTCCACCGTCAGAGAGGTCGATTGCTGATAACTGACTTCCAGGGATCCAATGCAATCGATCGCGCGGTATTGAGGATATTCCAAGTTTCAGGTGCTCGGTAGCCGTAGCTGGGAAAACCGCTGAGAGAACGGTTGGAAATCCACGGCTTCTCCAAAACTGTGCCGTTCATATCATTAACGCACAGCTTCTACGTTCGTTGGCGGTATGTACGACTACAATCCAGCAAATTCTTAGCCATCTTCCATTCCTCCTTCCGCGAGCCGATTTCGCTCAAAGAACGTCTACCTCTATTACAGCTCCTGGATCGAATCTGGAAATTATTAAGGAGTCCCTAACGTATCGGCGTGTACCCATCTCTCTGTGAGAAGCATAAAATTCGTCCGACTTCTTTCAATTCTTTTTTGACAATCGATAAAATGGAAGCCCGTGTACTACTCTCTTCCGTTCGTTCCCGTCGCGGCATTCGATCAAAATTCACCATGATCTGAATTTTATCTTTCCCCATTAGTTCAAGGGACAGACGGACCGACGTTCAGCAGCTGAAAATTTCACTTCGGCGGTATGCCTCGAGATGTTGCATCGTTGAAGAAGGATGTTTCGTAAAATTGATCGCGTTGAATAGATTTTCAACCGGAGAGAAATAAGTCGGAACTGAGTTTTCGGAAAACAGTGTCGTGTAATGATTGCGGTAATCGGCCACGGAACTCAAAGACACTACAGTGCGATCGAACGAAGCCGGTCGGCATTTTCCATCGCCGAACTGAGTTCCGAGGAAATTCTGCTCCGGGAGTCTGGCAGTCATCAGTCATTGATCAACGAGAACTTTGCGCTGCTTTGCCTAGAATCAGACCATTGGCAGTCTCGATGGGATCTGGTCATCATCATGGGAGCGCGGAATGCCACCGGATCTGGAAGGATCGTATGACTAGATCCTCCATCGTCGTTGATTGGACATAAAGATTCAGGGATCCTGTGGATCATGCAGCCAAAGACCCCCTTCGTGTCCCCTACTGAGGTTTGTGCAGTCAGGCAGGAGGTTGATGAGCTCATGGTTCGCCTCTGGTGGCACACGGGCGGGCACAGCGTTCCCCATAGTCTTTTCGGCGAGATAGATGTGACTCGAAGCTCAGCCAGAGTGCTGACTGCCAATGTCTGCTCCAGAGCTCCAATTCTCATGAGAGCATGACACTCGAGCAGTGTTGAGGCTTTACTTTCATACCTATATGTGTTGTGCTGGCATGCGTGCGCAGAATTCGTCTGGATGTACGTGGGAGAAGCTTTGAGTGCGGCTCTCAGGCAGTGTCTGACACGCTCAGAGCATAGGCGCATCGAAAAATCGTTTAGGCGCATCGAAAAATCGTTTAGGCACTGTGTTCCGCGGATCCCACCGCGCCGGGCTAGTTTGCCCTCCGCTCGAAGGAGACGGTGTCCAGCTCGTCATCATGCCTGAAGGCTCAAGCGGCATCGCTGCGCGGGACTGAATGCAGCAGAATCAGTCGGGAGAGCTCCCTGGAAATCTCACGTGCGCGGATTCGCGCATGCCGGCTGCTTTCGGAACGATCCGTGTTACCGATTCCCTTCTCAACGAGCTGTCAGCGTCATTTCTACGTTGAACGCGCTCGGTAGCAGATACAGCTGACGGTCAATCTCGAGGCTAAGGACTGGATGCAGAGTCCTACTTAAAACTGACGGCGAGAAAGTTCTGCGTATCGCAAATGAAAGGAATCGACCCTAGTGTGCTGACTTGCCCTCGGTGTAAGCGCGAGGGAAAACAGAACCGCGAACTCGGAGCGAACCGTGATTCGATCATTGTTTCGGGATACGTTTCCATCTCGCTCTTTTACCCAATTTATTATGTAAGCAGTCCCGCCCTGTGATCAGCAGGTAATTCAGGAGATGATTCTATTACGATCTGCTGACCCCGATGATTATCATCAGAGCTCAAATAATCGTTCGGGGGCACCGACAGAAGAATTGAACTGTGCGCATCTCTCTCGCTCGAACGGATACCTTGAGAATCGTCCACCGTCGTCGAGTCTCGGACGGTCACGACGGATAATCTGAATGAGATTGAAAAACAGTCTTCCTCAATCATCGAGATCTCGATTCTGGATCGTTGGACTGAACTGACCCAAGCGAATTCATGATGATTCGGTTCATGGTAGACATTGCAATAGGTCATCTCGCAATGAAGAGAAGGGCGCAGAACTTGGTTATCCGAGGGTCTCGGAAGAAATCCACTCGAAAATCTTTTATCGATGGATGTCTACTAGTTCTCGATATCGTCGATGCTCTCTTCGTGATCCTGCGGCCATCTCGCCCGCCTACATACGCTGCTGTGTACCCACACAGTCCGACTCGAGAGCTGCGTATACATATCTGAATGGAGCTCCAAGGAAATTTTCATCGGACATACAGCAGGAACAGCAGCCTCTCGGATGTTCTCTTGCTCAACACTCCCGGAAACGGGCACGGAGGGACACCTGCGACTCGAGCCTTGCTTCGAGCATCCGGCGATGGGTGTTCATGCCATCGCAAACTTTGGAACCGGATCAGAGAACATACATCGAGAGAGGAATATCAAATCTCGCGATTGCGGTCCACTCGAAAAGATGTCGCCCATGGGTTGAGACCCGGACACAGACTTGTTTCAAAATTAATAATCAGATCCCTCGAGGATTCATCGGTCTGTCTTTATTGCATGATCATTGGTACAGAAACATACCCGTAACTGGCAATTACTCCCATCTCACCTCTGTCCAACCAGGTGGGCACACAGTTCGAGGCGATCGTGTATGCTCCATTCTTCTGTGAAAGTCACTCGGAGTGGTGTGATAGACGCGCGAAAGAGACCTCGAAAGTTCTCGGTCTCGACGAGGGAACTAAGCGGCATTTTCGGGAGACAGATCTATGAATTCGCACATTCCGGGACTTTTGATGTTCGCCCGCGACCGACGCTGACGTGACGGAGAAAGCAATGACGAGAAAGGCTTTTCGGTTTGGCGTACGTGACCACAGGTCAACTAATGCCATAAGACTGGAGTGGCAGGGACAACTCGGGATAGCTTAAATGATATCCTGCGTATAAAACTCCACTCCGAAATCGAGATCTTCATCCTTGTGAGCGCTGCAATCGGCTCGTGTTGTTCACCCGATTCCTCCCTTCCGAGTATTAATTGACTCGTCGACGGAGGAAATGTCGTCTGGAGACATCAACCCCCGTGAGTGTCCGCGGAATTTTCGGGAGCGGTATGCCCCGAAGAGAAGGGAATTCGCGGCCGAAAACTTTTCGTGTGCGTCTTTTCGGGCGAATGACGGGAATTCTCTTTTCACAGTTGCCCTCAAAATTTTCTATTGTGCCTTCGCGCTGACCCAGGTCACCGGTGTCACATTCTTCGGGCTCCTCGTCAAGGAAAGATCCGAGACTTTGACGCGTGCGCCGGTATACTTCTGGCATCCGGTACTCGCTACATTGGGTCTGATCATCCTCCAGGGCGAATCGTTCCTCATCTACAGGTAACTCTCTCTTCAAGCATCGGGGAATCCCAGGTCTGAGTTCTTTGAGATTGCACGGAATTTCAACTGGATTTCGGTAGAGAGTCAGAGCAAGGACTTCAAGCTCGGCAGTATTCTTCAATGTCGCGTAGCGCACTTATCGTGGATGACTGCACGAGCCAAAGCGATCTCATCATGCGAGAACAACAACTTCCGGAGTCATTCGAATATCTTATGCCGATTACAGGATACTGCGGAATGTACGCAAGCCAGTGACGAAAATTGTGCACAGCGCTCTGCACTTCGCCGCTCTCGCTTGCCTGCTTGTGTCTCTCTTCCTAATTTTCAAACACCGCGGGAGATTCGAAATCCCTTCGGGGACCCATGGAAGATTGGGACTTCTCTCTGCTATTCTCTTCGTCATCCAATACGTCATTGCGTTCATCACATTCCTCGCACCAGGAGCCGCCATTCATCTTAGAGAAAAGTAAGATAATGCAGGGGTATCGATTGAACGACCTCAGGAGGATACAAGTGCTGACCAATTCGTATTCGATTCGAGGTTTCTGCCGATCCATGTCTTTGCCGGAATGGTCCTCTTCTCGCTCAGCTGTCTCACGGTCTTCACGGAGGTTTCGGGCGTGTTCTCTTTGGTCTCCACGCTCCTTCTGTATGCTCTATGCGTGGGCATCTGCGTTGGTTTCGCGTGCTTCCGAAGGAGAGCTTTGCCGCAGGGTGATGGATCTCTCTCTATAAATCAAAGCTGACTTTCCGGAATGTAGCGTCCTCGCGAAAATGCTTACCATTCACACAGGACTGTTGATGGAATAAAATTATCTCAAAGTTGTCGAGCCCTATCATTGAGAATAGATGAACTAATGAACTCCGAGCGCAGGCACGACAGATAATCTTCAGTTCGAGTTTGAGGCCTGATCCGAATTTGTCCGAAACAGGAATGCTGCGATTCTCGATCTAAGATCCCGCTACTGTTCTACTCTAGCTCCAATGTAGCTCGATGATTTATCGGGATTCCCGCTGATCCAATTGTAGTACCCAAAGACGCGATAGGGACTCCCAAGCGTGGATTGTAATCCACGCTGGAGCTCCGTGGTCATTGGTAAATCTCTTCACCAGCTTCGCCTACGTGACTTGGAGTACGTGAGGTGGAACATCAAGATCACTTGAACTTGGGAGTGGATAAGCAAGGCTTTGGAGTTGATTAACCGATTGGAATCATAAATTACCGAACTCAGCGATCGAAAGAGCGACTGATGAACTCTCGCCGCAGAGCCTCCTCTCGCGGAAAATGTGACAGACTTCGAAGAAAGACGTGCAGGGGCGAAAGTTTGCACCTCACCGGGTCATCCAACCCAGAATCGTGCGGGGACACTCTCCTCGGGGGCGTCGTGCTCGGATTTGACCTGCGAATCCGACGAAAGCCAATAAACTCAATGCTGATGGTGTTGAGTTTAGTTCATCCCTCTCGCTGCCGTCGGTCACTGACAAGATACCGGCTCTCAGGGAGAACCCAATAGATTCGAGATAGTCGCAGTGGCGTAAAGTGGCAAAGTGGCGCCCAAGGCGAATCTCGGGAATGGCGCCCCTTCACCAGAATACCCACCCCAAGTTCCATTCCTCACGCGAAGTTTCACTGGAATGAGGCGTCCCCTAACATACCACCACCGAAAAATTCGGTTCTCCCAAAGGATTCCAACCTCGCATTCCATTTATCAAGCCGAATCTTCGTTGAATCTCCCGTTTTTTCTGGTGGTCATGTTCGAGAATGGCGACTCTGAAACTGGTCGAAGGAATGGTGTCCGCCCCCTTCCATGCGCCACTGGGCAGTCGCACGATTTGTCGCCTCGTGAAAGGCTCCTGCGAGACTCGATCCCGAGTCATGGACAGACGCCACAAGGGTACGCTCCCCGGTCAGTCTTCACTAGACATACGAAGACTTAATACTGCTGATGGGCCCGGTGCTAGCATGTACTTTCGGTATCACACATACGAATGACGAGAAGGTTCATCTCCATGCTTGGATATCAGTGAAACTTTGTTATTGCATGAATCTGCATTAGAAAAATCCTCGTTATCGCATCACAGCATTGGCAAGTTCTCGTTCGGGAGTTGATAGATGAGGGACAAGCTCTTCGAAATAGTCTAAGTGAATTCAGCGTCGCCGCGTCGGACCCCACAAGAGCTGATCGTCTATGAGGAGCGATTGGTGTCGACTCGCTGATAAAAAATATCGAGGAGTCTTCGGTCTCATTTGAATTTGATATTCACATGGCATATATACAGTAGGACCTCGACTTACGATCTTAATCCGTTCCCGGAGACCGATCGAAAGTCGAAACAGAATATCCCACAGGAGCGCATATTGAAGCGATTGATCCGCTCCGAGCGGAGAAAAAGGACCGCGGAGTTTGCGCGGGCATGCGCAAGCGAAGCACGTCAGACATTCCGTGAAGGTGCGAAATGACGAGCGCTCCGAGATCGCCGGTCCCGATATGACTCTGGGGATGATTGTTTTTGATGCAGCTCGGAACCGATCGTGAATTGAATCAATGGTCTTGAGTCGAGGCACTCGTCCCGGTGAAATCGTTCGCAAGTCGAATCGATGTTCGTAAATCGGAACGAGTTCCTCTCGATAGCGATACTGCGGTGGGACTCCCCAGCTCAGAAAGGCACAGCGTTCTCGAAGTGATCGCTCCCTGAATTTTGACTGATCGCTGACAGAATAAGACCACACGTACTATATATCGTCAGGTAAAGTCCTGGAGTAGGAATGAAGCAGATGGTGGTTTTCAAATCCGGGTATCCTGCCAAGATGCGCCCGCGCTCCGTCTCAAATTCCGGACGTCGTTCCCGTCGGCAAGATACTTGCCAGGGATTCTGCACCGAGAGGCCACGATCTCTGTACCCTTCTCGTCGAGTTTCTTATCGCATGTGAATTCGGAGAACGGCCTGGCTCCTGGTGACCGCCTCAACGCTTTGATGTAGCCATGCTCGATCGATGAATTCAAAGACGCATTGTTCGATCTCTCCTCCATTCCACAAAGGCGCGGCGTTTCCCTGAACCAACAGTTTGTCCTTTGCTCCATGCCGTTGTGGGGGATATTCTCGATTTCGTCAAGCATAGCAATTATACGCTGGTGCGTCCCAGGATCCCCATAGGGAATGCTGGATAAGATTAGAATTTCAGTCAGAAAGACATACCCCAGTTGTCGGAAGGATAGTTCAGAGAGGAGGAGGATGAATTCGCCGAATTTTTCCTGGAAGACAACCTTCGACACTCATGAATACGTGAGCTTTGGCGTAACTTCTCATAGCAATCGACGCTGGTCTCTTTTCAGGCACCTATGCCCTCACTGCTATAGCGAAACCTGCGATTATGCACAGGTGTACTAACCGAACGCTCTTCTCTCTCAATCGCGCTATTCCCCAAATCCCGGCAATCAGGTATATGTAGAAGCCGAGGATGACGATGGCTTCCACCGAACTCTCCCTCAGCAGGCTCTTCCACAAGGGGCGAGCAATCCTAACGATGAGCTCTTCTTCATAAATCATTTCTTCCGCTTGTTCTCCACTTCTGTTCAATCCAGGATGATCCATCCGAGCCGCTATTCCGGATGATGTATGGGATATATTGTTCCGATCCGCATTGCCCATCACATCGAGACAAGCGCTGAGGAAAGTTAGGTCGACGAAGCTGACAGTTGCGAGCGCAATCACCCATGGAAAAAGGATACCTGATGGGGCTCCACGCGAACCCTGTAAATAAGAGACTTGCTGGGTGGAACATTCGAATTGGGGGCATTGTTTTCGGAACGGATCTCGGTGAACCCATCGGATGCCAAGTGGGATTCTGGTCAATCTCTCCAGGGTCACCTGCGATCAGTAGAGTGAAGGCACGCAGTATCAGACAGGCATAGACTCTTGCTTGTGTCATATAGACTTTTATCGTTCGTTTCCTCGTGAATCCGGTCAAGCCTGCATAACACCATGCGGCGGCTTGAACCTTCAGGAAAGATACTCTCAATGCAGAGAGAGTCCGTGTAAGTAGAGATAGATCGTTCTCCGCCACCTATACCTAGACTTCCAAACTGGGTTCCGGTTCCGGGTGCGGTCCGCCTCGCTGACTGGAAAACTTCTAGGCGACCTTGCTAACCAAAGCTGAGAAAGCGGATTCATAAATTCCTGACGGAAGAGATATTTGTGACTCACTGTATATAATCCGCAAATGTAGCCACCGATCATCAAATACGCGTCCATAGTCATTGAGGTAAGGCATGATGAGCGCGGTAGATGCGAGGACGGATATCGCTACCGACAATAGCGTGAGGGAAAGCAGCGAGCGTACACGTGGAGTCACTCCGCTCGGTAACCACTTCGGATACCCGAACAGTGCGGGGAGAAGCATGCAGCCGATAGCCGGATTCCGGTCTCTCCAGTTTCCTACAGCATCCAATGCGACGGTGATTGGTCTGCACACGCGGCGAGTTAGCTTCTCAGGGGAAAAAATACATATCGACATCAGAATAATCTGGATCAATGAACGAGCATACCATGAGGATTTACTTGAGGCATACGAGATCATATGTCCTTTGTGAACGGGAGAGGCTTTTCAGACCCATATCTTGATATGAAAGGTCTACTCACAAAGTTTGAGAGGCGATCCGGCTGCGAAGTCATATTCTGTGAATGAGGCATTCTGAGTCTGAAACCCATTCTCTTTCCTGCGCTCGAATCGCCGGATCATCCTGTGACTCAATTGCAGAAGAAAGATTCCTGCAAGTTTCACTCTTTCGCAACTCGGCGGGAATGCGATCCACGGCGACAGATCGGAGTTGACGCGATCCCCATACAAACAGCGGGGGCTACGAGGCGTAACACCGACACCGTCGAGGAGTCTGTCTCGAGTTCCATCTGGCAGTGCGCTCGGCCTGCTCCGAGGACCAACGTACCGAGTCAAACTCCCGGAACTTACGGAGAGAGACTGAGGCTTCGGAGATACACAGGAAACGAATCACCAAGACACCGGAGCTTGGAGAACGCTGTTGCGAAATCCCTCTTCCCGTCTCGTCGGGGTGCGCCAATGTGTCAAGGCAGAACGCTCCACGGGTTGCCGTCTTCGCTTCGCTTATTGCAGTACGGTAGACTCTCGTTCAGGGCAAGGAGGACGCCGACTCGATGGAAATTTGGAACAGGGAGCTTCACTGCTCAGGGGGCTCGCGCGCCCGCCGGATTCCCTCCCCTCTCTCTCCAGAACAGCGTTTTGAGCCGAGCTCGGCTTCAAGGAGCTTCAGTCCCTCGGGATGACATTGTTAGAGTGTCGCCGCTTTTCGTACCTTCTCCGAGCTGGGGGATTCTCCCCTGGCGAGCCGCTCACCCAGTGGCGTAGCGAGCCGGAGTGCCGCTCGGGGCGGTGATTCGAAATTTCCGTTTTTTTCACCGTGCTCGACGAAAATGCCGCCCCCCGCCAGATATTTTTTCCTCGAAAACACTCCGTTTTTTGGATGCAAAACCCCGAAATGCCGCCCCTAAATGCTCCGTAGGAAGTGCCGCCCGGGCGGTCCGCCCCCCCTCACTACGCTACTGCGCTCACCGCAAGCAAACGAGTCCATCCCCCTCCCCCTATAGAATAGAATCGCCATGTCTGTCCGTCACCGGACCGATTTTTGACGCTTCCCTTCCCCGAATAGACTTCGAAAAAAGATTTATTTTCCAAGCGGCTTGTTAGAAGCATGCTCTCCGCGCGATTCAC